CATAATCAGTGCTGAGTGGAGTCCTATCCATGCAGAGTAACAGATGACTTCCTGAGCTTTAACTTCGTTGTCAGGCTTCAGAGCAGCAACTGTGCATTTGAGTTTTGAGTTACCTCTTTCCTATCAGGTGTCAAAAGTGAACCCCAGCATAGGGAGGGAGCTTCTGTCCCCTCCGGTGGGAGTCAACAGGGTTTCATACTGTGGGACCAAACCCACAATGACATCTATAGATCTCACTGCCACCATCAGCAGAAGTCAACAAAAGCCCCATAACCTACTCTGTCCTTTGTTCCTGCCATGATCTGCCTTTAACTCATAAGAATTTATAAATATTATTACATCCTTTTTTCTTTGTTTATAGTCATCACCCCTGTGCCATCCCTTAGCTCTTATACTAATCCCAGTAACATCCTTCTATCCCCTGTTCTGCTCCTTTCCCTCATCACTTCACAAATTCTGAAGCCTTTCTCACTGTGCCCTTTGTCTATTGTGGCTCATTGTTGGCAAAATCTCATGTACAGTCTTACTTAACTTCTATACCCTAAGTGCGCTCCCTGTATGATTCTTTCATCTTCTTGTTCTAACAGAAATCTAGATCTTCTCTGATTACCCTGCTTTCCTTCCATCCCTCTCAATTGATGACTTTGTATTTTACCTGTGGGCATAGTTGAAGAAATATTCTTAATTCCTTATGGTTGCTTTCAAACCACGCTTGAAATTCTCCACCTTTGAATATTTAAAATTCTCTACTTTTGAGTATCATCTCATCAACATGGTTAGTATCATCTAAAAGGCCCTTGTCTTATTCTTCTTTGTTGTTATTTTTGTTCACTGTCTTCCTAACATTACTCCTGACTTTCTTCCTATTGATTTAAAGATACATTGAGATAATACTGTCAACCACTTTGCTCCTTACTTTCTATGACTTCTTTCCTGCAATAATCTTGCTCTTCAGTTTACTCTAACTCTAGTGGTCAAACCCTAGAGCCTGTCATTGCCAGTAACTGCAATCTCTTCATAATTACATACACCTCATGCTCACTACCACCACCCATCATTGCATCTGAGTTCATCCAGTGCTCCAACAACCCTGCAAGCCAAGCAGGATTTCCAGTTCATTAATACTCCTTCATTTTCATTCGTTGGCATTCTCTCCTCTTTAGTCACTTTAAATTCCATGGTCCACCATTACAATCATTCCTATAAGCTTACTCTCTGTCCCCATTCTACTCTCTGAATCTTTCCTGATAAATCTCAAACATGACTGTATCAAACTTTCTTCCCACACCATGCCTGGACTCATGAATATAGCTGGAGATAAATTCACCTTTTTGTTCTTTTTTATATGTTTTATTTAATTATTTTAAAATGTTTATTTATTTATTTTGAGACAGAGAGAATGCAGAGGAGACCCGGTGGGGTTGGGGGTGAGTGGGAAGAATCCCAAGCAGCTCTGCCCTGTTACCATTGAGCCCGCTGTGGAGCTCAAACCCAGGAACTGAACTGTGAGGTCATGACCTGTGTCAGACGCTTAACCAAGTGAGCCACTCAGGTTCCTCAAGATTCCAAGTGTTCTTAAAACTGGTCAGTAATCATAGCATGGTACTACAGTATGGTTCTTTCATTCTCACACTCTTCTAGAAAACATTTTACAACTCCTCTGCCTTCTGAACTTCTCTAACACCTCCTCCCTCATTTTCCTTCTCAGATGATCACATTGCTGCAAACTTTTCTTGGAAAAATTGAAACAATCAATACTATAGAATTTCTACAGATTACTATCGCTACCTTCTTCCACATCTTGTGTTCACTGGTCCTATATTTTGTCTCTAATCCATTCAACAGATTTATTAGGTATCTCCTAATAAGGGAGTTGTTAGGGATACAAACATGAACAAGCATGGTTCTTGCCTTCATAGAGTTCACAGCCTCACCGTTGGATTCAAGCAGTCTTCTTGAGAAGGTGGGACTCAATCATCATTCTTTCAGAGAATGGATAACTTCATTACCTCTGTCTCTGTTATTTGCTCAAGAGTTAGAACTACAAAACTCCCTCTTCAGCTTTTATCCACCTGACACAGAAAGGAGAATGAAGTGGAGCATAATTATTCAAATTAGAAAGTATGGAGATCATCTTGTAATTACAAAGAAAAAAAGTGTGGTACTGTTAATTACTGCAAATGATTAAGATTGCTGATTGAGAGGTGATGAGTGCCTGCACTTAAGGGCTGGCTGGTCCCATGATGATGGCATAGTGCCATCTGGTGGATGCCAATTCTGGCTCACGACCTGATCCATCCGGAAAGAAGTGTCAAGAGCTGTATAATTGTATTAACGGTTCTGCTTCCTAAATCACTTCTGATTTCAAAAGTACTCAAAGATTTAATCTTGTTCAAATCAACAGAGATTCAATCTGAGATAAGAAACCCAGTGTCTCAAAATGAATGATTTTGAGAGCTGGAAAGGATATGGGCCAAACTTTTGGCCATCTTACAGATGACAAAACTGAGGCCCAGACACCTTATATGACTTTTAAAGGTAGTATTATCAGGGCTGGATAGAGCTGGATCTAAGAATCTTAATCAGTTATCTTTCTTCTACATCTCTATTTTATTCCTTATTTTTCAGTTAGCTGGCTGATTATATAGTAGGCATTATTATTACCTAGTGCTATAGTATATAAATTACACTTATATACCTTTTTATGGATAGAGATGAGAAGTATCCTAATACAATTTTCTTTTCATTTTACTAATGATAATTAGCTAAGAACACATTCACATTTCCTGACTCAGAGGCCATTCTTTTTTCCTTTGCTTAAATGTTGTTTTAAAAGATTATCTCAAATGTGAAAATGGCTAATTAATAATGATGCTAAATAAACAAACAAAAACTTTGAACTGATAATTAAATTACGATTTTTAGAGGCACCTGGGTGGCTCAGTCGGGTAAGTTTCCAACTCTTGATCTTGGCTTGGGTCATGATCTCACAGTTTGTGAGTTTGAGCCTCCCATTGGGCTCTGTAATGAAGGTGTGGAGCCTGCTTGGGATTCTGTCTCTCTTTCTCTCTGCCTTTTTCCTACTTGTGTTCTCTCTCTCTCTCTCTCTCAACATAAATAAATAAACATAAAAAATTTTTAATTGCTATTTTGAATTTCTGACAGTTTACAATAACATTATTTTTAGTTTTATAAAAAATGTTTTTATTTATTTCTGAGAGAGAAAGAGGCAGCGTGAGCAGGGGAGGGTCAGAGAGAGAGGGAGATACAGAATCTGAAACAGGCTCCAGGCTCCGAGCTAGCCATCAGCACAGAGCCGGAAGCGGGGCTCGAACTCACGAACCGTGAGATCAACCTGAGCCGAAATCGAATGCTCAACTGACTGAGCCACCCAGGTGCCCCTATTTTTAGTTTTTAAAGTAAATTATTATATTTCTGTAGAGCTGTGTTTTCTCACAAAAGCTTGACTAAGTTTAGTTTTCCATTAATTCCTGGAAAAATTACTTCTTCTATTGTCAAATTGTAACATTAAACAACAAGCAGATGCTTCTGTATTTTGTTGTTATGGACCAAACTAATGAGATAGGTATACTTGGAAATTTGAAAATATACAATCGGAATGTTATCTCTCTTATTAGATCTTAATTGTAAGTAACCTGGTGGAAACACATTCAGATGCTATTTGAAATTATGTATCTTATGAGGCAATGAACATTAGGAAAGGAAAATAGGAGTAATAATCCATATACCAAAGTAATATGCTTACTCCAGTCAATAACTTGTAAAACATATATTGTTATTATTTAGACCATACTAATTTAATTTTAAAGCCAGTAATATATTTATGTTTTTGAGTGCCTATCACATGTTGGGCACCTGTTGACAATGCTACATGCTGCCATTATATAAATAAAAGTGCCCAGGAGGGCCATTGGGATGGCTCAGTCAGTTACGCAGCTGCTCAGACCTTGACTTCAGGGCCAGTGAGGTCCATGCTGGGCATGGAACTTACTAAAATAGAGTGCCCAAAAAACTCACTGAGTAGGGATATAGCAGGATGATGACCATAGGAAATCTTCTGATGTTTTAAGATTTTGAATTTTTTTAATGTTTTATTTATTTCTGAGAGAGAGACAGAGAGAGAGAACAGGGGAGAGTCAGAGAGAGAGGGAGACACAAAATCCAAAGCAGGCTCTAGGCTCTGAGCTGTCAGCACAGAGCCCAACGCAGGGCTTGAACCCACGAACCGTGAGATCATGACCTGAGCCAAAGTCAGACGCTTAACCAACTGAGCCACCCAGGTGCCCCAATGTTTTAAGAGTTTGAAGAACTTTTTCCTAATCTTGTGTAAGAATATTTTCCTGGTTTTTCTTCTACATATTTCTGGTTTATTGAATGAGATCTTTCTTGAAATGGGCCAGCTTTAGACTTATAGAGCATGTTTGAAGTACAAAACGAATATAAGGGAAGTTTCCATTCCTCACTTATTTTTCCTTCAACACTTGTTTATCTCCAGCTATTGTTTGTTTTACAGTATCAGTGATTTATTAAGGATGTTTTCTCCAGACAAATCTGGATATAGTAAGCATACAAATAGCTTTTCTTCTACAATATGATGATTTTTGTTGTTGTTGTTGTCTAAGGTTTATTGAAGATATTACAGCACAGCAGAAAGATTCAAAGGGCCCCACGTTGTGTTTTGAAATTCACCCCAATGGTAGGCTGAGTGACCTGCAGGTTGGATGGACCGCCAAAGTCTAAGACTGTGGGAAAGCAGATAGCTATCTCTTAGTTAGACATTGCTTTCTGGCCCTGCTGAAAATAGCAGGCCAGTACCTAGTTAATGTATATACAGGAGTTGGGTCCTGCTTGTGCTCATGAATTCCTTAGACCATGTTATTATGGAATAGCTTGTCTTGTTCTCCACCCTACTTTCAACATCTGCTCTTTTGTAGTCTTGGGAATACCTTTTTTTTTTTTTTTGCATTTACACATGAGTTTTATTTCTCCTGCTTCTCTGAGCTGAGTGGGGGGTTTGGAGGCTCAGTTTGGGATTTAGTTTCTTCTGCTTGTCCCCTTTAGCCTCGGGATCGGCTGGGGGAGACTCGGGTTCGTCTGGGGAAGGGGAAGAAGGTTCCTTTTTGGAGCCTCCAAGCCAGGCTCCGAAGGCTGATCCAACAGAGGCCAGAAGGATGTTGGATGACGTTGAGAGTCCAGCTGCCCCCACGGACTGAAGCGTAGCCACCAGGCTGCCCGCAGCGACTCCACCCGCGTTGGCGACCGCGGCGGCGGACATCATCTTGGCCGCTCCTCCCACTACAGCGAAAGCTGCCCGTTTCATCATCTAGACACCTTTATGGCCCCAGCAGAGCTTCCTCTATACATTCTGTAGCCACTGACATATTGCACAGCTATACGTATCAAGCTATAATGTATGCTTAATAAATATGGGAACTTGATAGCAGCTCAGAGAGACTTCCCTTAGCCTCCCTCTCACCTCTCTTGACTTGTGAAATCTTGAGTAATCCTTTCTGCCGTCCTCAGCTTTGCTGGACAAAGCTGAAAGCCAAACCCACAACTGGTGACCCTGACATGACTCCACAATTGGTGACCCCAATGTGATCCCACATAAGATCTTTAGCCTTTCCTTAGTGTCATGATCTGCTGCAGTGTTACTCATTTCATTCATTAACTACAGGCTCTATGAATACTATATTCTGCCAGTTCTGCAAATCTGTCCAAGACCAGAAGTGTCCTTTAACCAATCTTTTGGTTAAAGTTTCTATTAAAATTTAAATGATTGCTGGAAGGGAGGTGGGTTTGGGATGGGTTAAAGGTGATGGCATTACTTTTAGGGATGAGCACTGGGTGTCATTTGTAAGAGATGAATCACTAGGTTCTACTCCTAAAACTAAAACCACACTGTATACTAACTTGAATTTAAGTAATAAAAAAAAGAAAGAGTGGAGGAGGGGGATCTGGAGAGAGGCAGAGGGAATTTTGATTCTGGGGAGAATGGTGAAAGGGCATCCATCCAATTCTGTTTGTAGTTATTACTTACATGATGAAAGTGTGCAGCAAAAAAACTTCTAAAGGAGAACATTAAGAATGACAAAAGAGGGACCCCTGGGTAGCTCAGTGAACAAGAAAAAAAAAAAGAAAAAGAAAAAAGAAAAGGTGAAAGCAACCCAAATGTTGATCATATGACCCATGGATAGATCAAATGTGGTATGTTTTTACAGGAGAATATTATTCAGCAAAAATAATAATGAAGTGCTGGTATATGCCAACCTAAATGAGCTTCAAAACTATAGGGCTAAGTGAGAGAAACCAGTCACAGGGGACTTCATATTGCATTATCCCATTTAATGAAATGTCCAGAATGGGGAAGTCTATAAAAATGGGGTAGATCAATGGTTGCCGAAGGCTTGATGAGGTAATGAGGGAGATTGAAGAAGGGGAGGATGGCTAAAGTTGATTGTCCTGATGGATGCACAAAGTCGTGAACATAGTAAAAGCTGCCAGTTTTACAACTTACATGGGTAAACGGTATGGTCTGTAAATTATATCTCAATAAAACTGTTGTTTTGGAAAGCAAAAAAAAAATGATTATTTAAGTTGGTCCTCATAATGTCACTTGTGAACTACTCCATTGGACACATAGGAGTTAGAAAATAAAAGCTGATTAAAAAGGGGAGGTGGAATCAAAATCAAAGGATAAGGTAAACAGTCATACTTAAATATACCCAAGACCACTTTTAAACCACAAAATATTGAAATAGTAACTTCCTAGGCAGACTTTTATATTTTGTTTTTATTGCTAAGTCAATTTAAGATTCTAATAGAAGGCCTCTTGACTGGTAATAGAGATTAGTATGCAAACCTAATATTTAACTCCCCTGTGAGAAGACGATAATTGAAATCGATGGTGGCTGCAAAAATCAGAGTCGGTTAATGTCACTAAAGAGAGCAATCAAAGGTTTTGTGAAATTGTATTTTTGTGAAGCAGACTGCTTAAAATGTCCTCTGACAGTGTTTATAATATTGAATTGATCAACTAATAAAGGATTTCTTAGATTAAATACAGAGAATTCTTCAGTATGAGAGGCAGTGGAGTATAGTAGTTAAAAGCACAGCTTTTTGAGCAAAATTTTTAGATTTTGGGTCTCAGCTTTTACAATTTCTAACCATATGACCTGAATTGTTCTGCACCTCAGTTTCTCCATTAGTAAAATTTCAAGAGTAATAATGTATGCTTCGTGGTGTTCTTGTGAGGACTAAGAACTGATTTATAAGAATCACTTACACCAATGCCTACCAACTACTAATCACTATAGGACAACACGTTAAGATATTACTATCAATAGGATGAACCAAAATACCCAATAGACTTATTTAGTTTTATTCATCCTCAAAGTTTTGCAGCAATATGGACTTTAGCAGCAATAAATGCTTCTATAATTAAGATGATTTTAACAACATAAACAACAAAAGCAAAGCATACAAGTAAGCCTTAATGATCTTAGAATTTAGAAAGCTTGGAATTTTATTTTGCCTGTGTGATTTTCAGTAAGTCATTTTACATACCTTAGTTAAATGTACCAATAATGCTGATCCTTATAAAAGGCATGATCGAAGGATAAAATTAAGTTAAAAAAAATGTTAGAAAGTGATTTTGTCACTATAGGAAATGCAAATATTAAGACTCCACAAATATTACCTTGGTGGAAATTTATAGAAATTCTTTACTCAAAGAACAGGAGACCATTCCATTTAAGAGATTACTTCTAACGCTATTTAAAAATCATGTCTTCGATTTGAAGCTTGTGAATTGAATCTGTCTTTATTCCTCAACATATTAAATTAAAATGACAATGAAATATTTATAAAGAAATGGATTCCTAGCAATCTGAGAATGAGACAAAGGTCATTAACAACCCAAAGACTTTGAAAAACAGAGACAAGATGGGATTGTGACAATCTAAAGCAGAGGCAGCAACATGGAACAAACACAGAGTATGGCTAGATTGAACATGAAAGTCCTTTTCGCCCTGTTCTGCTATGGTGAGTCTCCAAATTCTGGATAAGAAGACACTCAGGGTTGGAGGGGAAAAGGGTGATATAATAATGATAACCAAAGGGTTAACAACACAAATACTACCACCGTCTCTGCCCTCCCTACCTCAAGCATGCAGCTGAGTCATTTCTGCTCAAGTTAACCTGGACAGAATAATCACAGAAGCAAGTTTCTCAAATTCTGACCTGTTGACCCCTTGTATCAGAGCTATTAAAAATTCATATCAGTGTCAGACTTGTATCAGACTTACTACAAATCCAGATAACCTATTCCATTCAAGAACTATTCAACTGAAATTCTGGGGCAACACATTAGAATATGTATTTTAAACAAGTTTCTTGAGTGAGTTTTCTACTTCCCATTATATTCTGAGAATCGTCACATTAAAGAAAATGAACCCACCTTATAGTGGCAAGGTTTCCTTTAAAATGTGTTGAAAGCCTATAGTAGATTTTTTATTCTGACCAAGATGGAGTAACAGGAAGCAGCGTTACTCTCCCATCTGAACAAAAACCCGCAAAATATTTGACAAGTTTTTCAGGCAGTATAGGATCACTGAGAGAGGAGACATAAATGAGGCAAATCCTATGATTATTTCAATTCACCTCCCAGTTTACTGACTTCAGAACAGGGAGGCAAACCAAGGTGAAGTCCACTGAGAGAGCACGAATCGATAGATCTGTCCAGGTTTCCCTCAAATCTTTGCTGAGTACTGGTCAGCACAGGTGTATGAGGAAATTATCTGAGACGAGAGAAAGAAACACCTTAAAGGAGTAAAAGGGTTGATTCTTGGTCTCATAGAGGACGAGCACGAATTTGTTTTCCTGCCTGAGAGGGAAAACATACTTCATAGGGTTCTGGGTAGAACACTCAGAAGGTTCTTGCCTCAAGAATGGGAAGAAATTAACCCTCTACTAAAGGCATCCCTGGTCCCATCTAACAACATTATAAATAAGACATGAAGGGATCAGACACATTCCAAGTCACTTACCTGCAGTTTAGAACCCAGCTACAAAATATTTGTAGTAATTCAAAAGCACCCATCATACAGGAGTTAAAATTCAAAATGTATGATATCCACTAAATATTACCAAGCATGCAAAGACACAGGAAAGGTGCCAAAGCAATTCAGTGGGGGGAAAGGAATTTTTTTTCAACAAACGGTGATGAAACAATTTTTTTTTTTTTACAAATAGTTTATTGTCAAATTAGTTTCCACATAACACTCAGTGCTCATCCCCAAAGTGCCCTCCTCCATGCCCATCCCCCCCTCCCCCCCACATCCATCAGTCCTCAGTTTTTGTCAACATTCAAGAGTCTCTCATGGTTTGCCTCTCTCCCTTTCCCCCACCATTTCCGCCCTTCTTCTCCCCCTTGTTCCTCCGTCAAGTTCCTCCTAATCCTCCTATACGTGCAAAAAATATGGAACGCTTCACGAATTTGCGTGTCATCCTTGCACAGGGGCCATGCTAATCTTCTCTGTATCGTTCCAATTTTAGTATATGTGCTGCCGAAGCGAGCACGATGAAACAATTTTATAGCCATATGTTAAAATGTTCACCTCAACCCTGACCTCAAGCTTTGTATAAAAATTAACCCAAAATGGATTGTTGTCCTGAACTAATGGCTAAAAAACTATAAAATGTGTAGACAAAACCAGAAGGATATAGTGATTTTGGGTTTGACAAAGACATCTTAAATATGATGCAAATTGGTTGAAAAGATAATATATTGGACTTCTTCAAAATTAAATACTTTTATTCTTTAAGGAATCTTTGAAAATGGAAAGGCAAAGCTATCAACTAGGGGACAATATTTCCAAAATATTTAGCCAACAAAGGAATTTTATCTAGAATATATAGAGAACTATGATAATTCAATAAGACAAACAATCCAATGAAAGCGGGCAAAAGATTTGGACTATTTCATTAGTGTGTGTGTGTGTCTGGGTGTGTATCTGTGTACACATAGATCATGTTGAACATTTTTTCAGGTATATGTATCTTCTTAATGGCAGATAAACACCAGAAAATGCTCAACATCATTAATCATTAGGGAAACGCAAATTAAAACCACAATAATATACTACTAGACTCCCAGTAGAATGAATGGCTACAATTAAGAGGTTTACCAATACCAAGTGTTAGTGAAGATGTGAAGCGAGTGTCTCTCATGCACTGATGGTGGCAATGTGAGATGATACAACCACATTGGAAAATAGTTTGGCAGTTTCACAAAAAGTTAAATTTTCACCTAGCATGTGCCCC